TGTCGTCGTCAGAAGACACATTGGTTTTCGCACATTAACTTTAGTTTAAGTGAATGGATCTCTATGAAATTTTACCATAAGGTTCAATACCACAAAACGAAGGTTGGGATTGATTCTGGGGGTTATGATACCAACAGTTAAGGAATTAGGGGCCAAAAATAAGCATTTTTGTAACTTCCAGACAATAACTTGTGTGTTAGTGTATGGATCTCTCTGACATTGTACCACAAGGTTCCATATCACAAAGGGAATGCTGGGATTAATTTTGGGGGTAATTGCCTCAAAATTTTAGGAATTAGGGGCAAAAAAAGGGGCAAAAACAAGCATTTTTCTAGTTTCATGACAATAACTTGTGTGCAAGTGTATGGATCTTTCTGAAATTGTACTACATTCAATTAAAGTGAGCGAAAACTTTAGTTTTTTTAAAAATTTTGACCATGTCTTGCATCTGAATTCATTTAAGGTCTTAAATTGTGCTTATAATACTGTAAATAATACTGAGAAATTATTGCGTGCATTTATTATTGCGAATTTTGAAGAAAGGTCTAAGATGTGAGATTAATTATTGCGATTTCAGGAAAATCTCCATACAGTTGTATGTATCAGATATCAGAATGCGAGTTTTTATTATTGTGAAACTCATTCAGTCGCATTATTTGCATTAATTAAAACCTCGTTATAATTTCTGAATTTACAGTATTCATCTAAGGTGACATAGAACTGTAGTTTTGTATTTTTTGTGCATGTCATGCATTGTATGACATTCATTAACGATGAACTAAAACTATTTTTTCTCCCATGTCCATGATGTCTTGCATTCTGCAACATTTATTAAAAGTGACCACAAACTGTAGTATTTTTTGTATTTTACCATGTCTTGCATTCTTATTCATACATTAAGGGTGATTCCAAACTGTAGGTCCCACCTACGGATCATCTTGCTCTCTTATTGAAAAATAAATCATTATACAAGCAGTTTAAGCCAAGTAGTCATCTTTATACAAGCAGTTTAAGCCAAGTGGTCATCTTTATACAAGCAGTTTAAGCCAAGTGGTCATCTTTATACAAGCAGTTTAAGCCAAGTGGTCATCTTTATACAAGCAGTTTAAGCCAAGTGCTCATCTTTATACAAGCAGTTTAAGCCAAGTGGTCATCAACCTTGCTTAAATGTTTAATTTATTTGTCAATTTGTATAGGTCAGTTTGCTTTTACAGTGATTAAGCATCTCTGTACCCATTGTTTTAACAATGGATTTGGGAGGAGAGAAAAAAATCATTCAGAGGATGGAAAAACTCTTCTTGTCAGTAAATAAATGAGTTCGGAATTTTCAAAAATACAAGTATAAGAAGTTAGAAGACAATTACAGTAATCACATATACAAATGTATGAATTATAAATGACTTCAGAAATAAGAGCTATGGAAATGAGGAAAAAATATCTTTTGGCAAGGAATAATGAATAAGGGTTTAGATAGAATTCAGTTTGACTAATATCTTATATCCTCCTTAACAAAAACTTTTATGTTATGAATATATGAAAATTTATCAAAATCTGATATATCAATACAAATTGTTACATTTTGAACGAACATTCAATAGCAAGGCAAAACTAGTCATGTTTTTCACAAATTTTGGTATGCTGATTATCATATCATAATAGATGTCTAAAGAAAATAACAATCAACTACGACTGTTTTATAATAACAAATTTTAATCCTAAAAACATCTATACAACATTCTGCATTCATTACTTAAAAGTCTGTTTACACATCATTATCATATTGTCCTGGTAGTTTCTTAATTGTCCTCAATCCTTCCTTGTCTCCCCAGTTAATTAAATAAAAGGTTGCGCAGATAACTGAAACGACAAATTATAACATTTTCAAGTTCAACTTTAAATACATCATGTACTGACCCACTTCAGTGTGGTGTCTTTTTTTTTATTACTATGCATAAGACTGTTTATCAATTATAGCTGTTTTTTTATTTAAAGTTCTGTCCATTTTTTTATTGTCCAAGGTCATATTCATGCTCATAATTTAACCAAGGTCGTCATTAAGAAGATATTGAGTATAAAATGAATGACACAAGTCACATTCAAACAACAACACAATAGAAGTGAAAATGTTATGACTAATGAATATTTGTTCTTACTTCAGAAAGCTGGCTTCTAATGTGTTTCCGGATAGTTGAAAAAATAATGGTATATTTTAGATAACTTATAGGTTCATTAAATCTAATATCACCAAGACCCATATAACATTTTCTGTGTAAGTGTGTAACTGTGTTATATACATGTATATCAATTCCACCACTATACTTTTCCATTTGCAATGTCATTTGAAATTTTGAACCCATAGTACATGTAGTAATAGGACTATTTAAAGCAAAGGATTCCATGTTTTTCCGTTTCTCTTTCTGACTGTTTTGATTTGAGTGCCACTGATGAGTCTTGAGTAGACAAACACGCTTCTGGCATAATATTTTAAGCCTGGTTTTTTCAATGAGTTCTTATTCCATGTATTAAAAATTTATCAAAAACAAACTTTTATCATTTTATTTTTTATTAATTTTTACCATTATGTTTTTTATCAATTTTGTTTTGTATGTATATATATTCATGTTAGTAAAACAGTTTCTTCAAATCCTTCAATGAAAAATTAAGAATAGGTTACAGAAACAAAGCTTCAAGCTAAACCAATGACTGAAATATAATAAGAACAAATAAATATCTATTACCATATACTTTTATTATTGCCCTTCCAAATATGTTTCCCATTTTTGATAATGTGAAACTTCAAACCTTAGAACTCATTTCAATATAAAGAGAACCCAAAAAGGAATAATTGTGCTATCACTGTAAGGTGAAACAAGTGATATTTGTAAACACACTTAAAAATGCAAATTAAAGAAATAGTTTCTCATCTCTTTATGAAAATAAAAGTATCTAAGGTTTCGATTGGAAAAGGCTTTCATTAAGATACATGTATATCAAAACATTAACATCAAGGAAATAAAAATTATCAGTAAGTAGGGAAATAAGGCATATGGATTCCTTTAATTCATGAAATGAACTGAAGCTGTTTGATTTCATGGTTTAACAAATTCTTCATTCAAGACTATAAAAGTTTGCATTTTGTTGAAGATTTACTTTAACTTTCTCATGAAATCCTTTAAAATTAGAACACCAGGAATAATTAAGAATCGAAAGTATGTTGGTCTTAAAAATTTGTCAAAAGCACTTTTCTGGATTTACCTTCATCAGGAGTGCTCAGACCTTAACATTTGAAAGCCATTTAAGTTTTAATATGTTCTGTGTACTAAATAATTTAAGGTTTATTGAACATCAATCCGTATTCATTCCACACTTATAATATATCATGTTTGTAGATGAGAGGCTAGTAATGTATATATCAAGAAAAGACTCACTAGGAACTCCTCGGAACAATGCATAAGTCATCCTCCGTACTCCTTTTGGAAATCCTACGGAGAAAAATCCTGCAAATGCTCGCTGTTCAAATGGAGATAATGTCCAATGAATTTGTTGTGATTTCATGGCCTTAAGGCCTCCAAAATGTCTCCCCATATTAATCTAAAAAGAAAAAGAATGTGTAAAAGAAACATAAATGTGTGGGATTTATAGATTAATAAATGTGGTTCCAGTATACATTTGTACAGGTAAAAAATGTATAGTTTAGAAGAATATTACAATCAAAAATTAAATTGTGAGTTTTAAATATGTAATAAATTAATATTCATCATGTCCAAAATTTTACACTAAAACTAACAGTACATTAGCTTTGAATCAATATTTTTATGATGAATCAATGACAAACTTGCCCTATTGCAAAATCATCCCCGAGACCAAATCGCCCCAACTTTCTAACAACTCGCCTAAACTTTCTACCAACCCACCCCACTTTCTACCAACTCTTCCAACATATGAAAAAGTTAAATCCAGCTAATTTGAGCCTACCTGAATTTGCCCACTTATGAAATGTAGTGTAATCCCGATGATTTTAGGCCTACCAACATGACCAATTCGCCCCACTATTGAAAAGTCGTTTAATCCCAATGAATAAATTTTAAATGTCTGCCATCTTTCCCCACTTATAAAAAAAAAGAATTAAATTCTGATGAATTTAGGCCTACCAATTCGCCCCACTTATGAAAAGTAGTTTAATCCTGATGAATAAAGGTCTGCCAAATGGCCCTCCTTATGAAATATTGTTTAATCCAGTTGATTTTAGGCCGACCAACTCGTCCCACTATTGAAAAGGCTTAATCCTAATGACTAAAGGTCTGCAAACTCGCTTCACTTTTGAAATAAGAATTAAATCCAGCTGAATTTATACCCACTTCTGAAAGGAGTTTAATCTCTATGAATAAAAGCCTAATATCCCATTGAATTTAGACCTGTCAACTTGCCCCATAATTAAAAGGAGATTATCACATTTTCAAATAAAAACATGCCAACTCGCCCCACTCATGAATACGGATGAAAATCTAAGCTTACCGGAAGAAGAAGAGAACTGATTTTTTTTTCCAAAGAAAACGTTTGTCTAGTATTGAATTGGTTCATTACATATGTGACCCATGTTAAAGAAAACGTTGAAAATCAACCAGGAGTAATTTTTTTTTAAGTTTTGAAACTGGTTGTTGTTAATCAACCATCTTTAAAAAAAATCAAAATAACAGCATATATTGTTAGCACTACTTGAGATTTGATCATGGTACCTATGACCAAAGAATTGCTTAGAAATAATTACAGTTTGAGTTGTATCTTCCCAACTCCCGACCTTCAAAATTTCACACAGGAAGTATGAAATAATAAACATTAGTTTCGTATAGGGTATGTTTTTTCTCTCTCATTCAAATTTACGCAGTCAAATATAAGCTATTGATATTTCATTAATATTTTTTCAAATTTTGAGTACCCATAAAGAACCATTTGAATTAAATAGAAAAAGTTTTGTTTAATATTGTGTGACCTTCACCTTGTGTATTAAAAAGTTAGAAAATGCAGACGATGGAGGTTATATGGTTTAGGGAGGTTAATTATGCATGATATTCTATCATACCTACTGAAATATGCGGAATCGAAGTAATTCTGGAGTTCGTCTTGATTATTACCAGCGTCTTGTCAATAAAACGATTCTAAAACATCAGGTAAAATCAATCAACCTACTATCACAAACTAAGGTCTAAGGATTGTTTACACTTACAGTAAGTTATAACAAGTATTTGCATACAAATCCTTGGTTAAAATACAAATCCTTCCACTAACAAACAGGAAAAATTTCGGTGTTCAGCAAAATCAGAAACTGCTCTGAGATAAGATTATAAAGATAGATATGATAAATTTATTTAACCCCCTTGCACCTACTCGGCTACTGCCTGTGTACTGGCCTAGTGACGGTAGCCTAATCCAAATAATTATGACGTCTTGAAAGGCTATTTTAGTTTTTTGCTGTATTGCCTTCCTTAAAAATAAAAAGCCTTTCAATACGTCATGATTATTTGGTCTACCTTGCCCCTAGTCTAAATAATTATGACGTCATGACAGGATATTTTAATTTTTGCTGTGACGCAGGAAGTTGTAACAGAAAAAAAATATTCATAAATATTGGACTACTTCGCCCCAAATCCTGTCTGTAGTCGTGATTGCAACCGGGTCATTCTTTGATAGCCCATATGACCCTCTATACTTCCTTAGAACGGCCCCAGCTGAACTGTGTAGACAGCAAGTACAGTCTTGCAATTCATGGTCCATAAACTTTTTTTAGATGTGTTGTTTTGAAAATATGACAACCTTAAACATGTTAATGCCCTTCTTGGAGTTAAAAATTGGAAAACTGTAATGAATAGCAAAATCAGTTGGGGATGATCAGAGTTATTTGTCATTTGTTTACCAATTGTAAATCAATAAAATTAGTTTGAATGGTATTTGAATTGAATTATTATACATGTTTATCAAAACTTGTTTTTGCCTTTGATTATTCTGTTTTCATGTGCCTTCTAAAATCATAAGGGCCTTTGGAAACAACAGAAATAATAACTCAATAGAGCATGCAGTAAGCAGAACCTTTGCCAATAGTACAGGACTTTGGGACAGGAACTTCTTTTCACCCTTCCTAATTTTGAAACAGTTTATTCTGATCCAGGAAGTACATGTTTCCTTATTTAAAAGGGAAAGACTGAAAAGTTGATCAGAAAATTATTATACCCCACTCAACTTTTGACCCATCCATAAGTCCGTCCATTCATCAGTCCTGTTATTAAAACCACACAACAGAATTTGGTGAAACTTTGTATATAATTAGGATATACTATGTAGAGGTAGAATAGCGAATGGAAACGGGGAATGTGTCAAATAGTGCATATCGACAGGAAACTATGTTTACTACTGCAACCGTTTGTCATCACAACTCCTCTGAAACCACACAACATAATTTCATGAACCTTTGTAGATAAGGACATACTATGTCATGTATGTAATGTGCATATTGACAGGAAATTATGATTTAACTTTTTTCTAGGAGTTATGCCCCTTTGAACTAAGAATTTTTGCCTAAATATATTACTGCATCAGTTTGTCATCGCAACTTCTCTGAAACAACACAACAGAATTACATGAAACTTAGTAGATGATAAGGACATACTATGTACATGATGTAGATGTGTATATCATGTATATTGACAGGAAATTAATCTAGGACTTATGCCCCTTTTGAATTTAGAATTTTGGCCTAAAATACAATACTGCAACAGTTAGTCATCACAACTCCTCTGAAACCACATAACAGAATTTCATGAAACTTTGTAGATAATTAGGGCATACTATGTAAATGTGCATATTGACAGGAAATTATGATTAATTTTTTTTTTCTAGTAGTTAATATTCTACTGCAACAGTTTGTAGGTTTGTAGGTGCAACTCCTCTGAAACTGTGCAACAGAATTTCATGAAACTTTGTAGTTAATGAGGACATAATATGTAGATGTTTGCCTAGTGACAATTCAGGCGCATGGAGTATGTGAGCGTGCTCACAAAATATCTTTCATTTTATGTAAAATTTAGTGACATGAAACAAGTTTTGTAATGAGGGATTACCAATAATATGTTCCCACTTGAAATACATGTTATGGATTATGTCTATGTTTATTATTACACTTGTATGTATCGCCTATTCTTTATAACATTTTTTGAAATTGGTTAAAATATTTGAAAATTAATTAATTATTATGATTTATTATTTCAGAATCCAGTTACTGGACTTTTTCCAGCCAGTGATACAAACACTCATGCTTGGGTCAGAGACAATGTTTATTCCATTATGGCAGTATGGGGTTTGGCTCTGGCTTACAGGAAAACTGCAGATTTGGATGAAGACAGGGCCAAATCATTTGAATTAGAACAGGTATATATATGTTCCGAACCATATGAGTATTTGGACCATACGCCTTTTATACTCGTTTGGTCATTAACGGGCCGGACCATACGAGTATTTAGACCATATAGGTATTTTTCTAATAATTCTATCTTTCTTTGCAGGAACACAGAGCTCATTCTCTAAACAAAAAACTGCACAAGTTACTATCTGAATTCTTTTATCTTTTACATATTGTCTGCGTCTTGGTGTATCTGTTATCTTGCATTCGCTAAGAGTCAATTTAAATTGCCGTTATACTGCCGATATTCGTCCGTAAGTGAAACCACCTGTGTTTTTGGCATGGATTTTTTTCTCTCTGTTTTCTTAGTGTTTAAATTATTATTTCAGAAACAAAATGTCTTGTTATTTCTATTTATTTCATTAAATTGATGTGTTCTTGTTCCTATTCATACGATATTACTGTCATTGTAAGATTGTATGAATAGGAGCAAGAACACATGAACAAATTTACTAAAAACAATAAGAAGTTTTTGAAAAATTATAATTTAATAAAAACAAATAAAAACACTAAAAGACATTTTAAAAAGAAAAGAAAGAGGGTTCAATGACCAAAGTGCCTGTGAGTTAAGCAATTTACTTACTGTTTAACAGTTCATCTAGATATTTCTTGAAGTAATTTTCCAAAGTCGACATATTGCGTTTCGTATGGACAAATCGATAATGACCATGTTAAAATTATTTTACTATAATTCTTACTTGTAAGTAATATTCACTCTATTAAATTAATCATGTAAAAATGACTACCATATGATTAAATAAGTCAGATTTCATTTTTAGAAACTCTTTGTGACACCTTTTCAACGTTCATAATGTTAATTACCCAGACCATACACGTATGGTCTGACCATATGAGTATATATGCAGATGGTCATGACCATACACGTATGGTCCAAATACTCATATGGTACGGAACATATACATGTATAGTATTGTACTGAAAAAAAGGAATAAATGGGTAGAGTTTTCAATAGAAGCCAGTCAGTACTAAGCCAGATAAATGATCTTCATGATGAATCTGATCATTTAAGTTTTTACTATTAACATGATTACATTTTGTAATAAAAACTCAGCCTGTATACATAAGATCTTGCAATACAATGCCAATAAAATATGACTGGTTATAAATTTTGAAGAGAAAATTTATAATTTTTGATTTATCATCTTAATATGCTTATTATAACATAAAATATTCACCAAGCTTTTATATCTATATATGAAAACTAATACAATGTAATAAAGTGGAAATTTGAAAATTATTAATTTCATTTATTGGAATCAGTCAAATGTGACATACTTTATGACTGTGGCATGCTGGGAGTTGAATTCATTTAAAGTCTTGTTTGCAATATTTTTTATGAAATGTTAAGAGCATCGATGTCTGTCTTGCAAACCTTATAACAATAAAAGACTAATGATAAGAAAATAGATGGAACTGACTTGCAACTTTTTACATTCATTAGTTTAAATTCCTATGGTAAAGGGAAACCATATATTTAAGATTTTAAAAAAAATTTCAAAGGAATAGTCCAGTTTAGCAGTTACTAGTATTAATTTAGTAAAGTACAGCAGACTGAAAGGAACGGGTGGGCAGCTGCCAACAGTTTCCATGCAATAACTTAAGAACTGTTCAACCAATACTTTTCAAATTTTAATATGTTGTTACTAATGACATACTTGAGGAGTTATTGTCCTATATATATTGGATTATGACACTTTAAGAGTCATTTCCATGTAATTAATATATGAAACAGTCAAATAATGCTTTTCAAAATTTCAAAAAGATGTTAGTGATTTCAAGATCATGAAAATGGAGGTCAAGTTTAATATTGTTGTTTTGTACAAGTCTGCGTACAAGCTTATAGAAAATTTGTACATCGTTGAACAATTAAATTCATGGTTCACCTTTAATGTTTAACCACGAAATCCACAAAAGTTGGTATCTATCCAATAATAATAAATCCACAGTAGTTTATATTTACTTTTGCAGTCAGTAGTAAAGTTGATGAGAGGTCTGTTAAGATGTATGATGATGCAAGTCAACAAGCTTGAGAAATTTAAATACAGCCAGAACAAAACTGATGCTCTTCATGCCAAGTACTGTAGTTTGACTGGTAAAACTGTTGTAGGAGATACACAATGGGGACATCTTCAGATCGATGCTACTTCCTTGTACCTACTGATGCTGGCACAGATCACAGCTTCAGGTAGTAGATACACTCAACTAATAAACATATAGTTGGATATATACTGGATAAATTTTTATAAAAAATTAAACATGATGAAATAATTCATATTTAACATTTTTTCAATTGGTTGTTTTCAATATCTTGAAAACTATAATAGATAAATAGAGACTTTAAAAAGGAAAAACATATCAGCAGGATAAGATCTACAAATATGTCAACATTACTGAAATTGTCAGTTGTTCTCCTTTAATGCTTATTTTTGCTAAAAAGTGGCCATTGTTGAAGATGCAGGTGAGCGACATGGGCTATTTAGAGCCTTTAGTTAAATATGAGATATAACAATGCACATACATGTATTGAAGTCAATGATTGATTTGTCTATTGTAGGTTTACAAATTGTGTATACACTTGATGAAGTATCTTTCGTACAGAACCTTGTATTTTATATAGAATCTGCATATAGAACTCCAGTGAGTGAATTACTTTTAAAAGTACTGTAAAATCAGAAATAAATGCTTGCATGCATTATTATTGGGAAGCACTGATTACTGGTAAAAATGTGAGATATTATAAATACGAATGGCAAATATTTTGTGAAGGAAAATCACTACTGAAATTATGAATGCAATTTTTTTATTAATGCAAACTGGCCATGGATACTGTCCCATTTTTGGCATTCATAAAAACATTGCAATAATTTCTGAATTTACATTACAAATACAATTAAACATCTCATGACATCACACTAAAGAACTGGTTGATTGCATTCATTTAAGTTATTAGGCAATCTACATCATGCTAAACATGTGTGGGAGGGAGATTTAAGGTAACATACAACATTAAGGTAAAAACTCTGCTAGAAGTTTCTATGATGTGTGAAAGATACAGTACCTCAAATACTAGTACATTGCAGCAACTCTAACATTAATACATTACAGTATCTCAAATGATAGTGCATTACAGCATCTCAAATGATAGTACATTACAGTATCTCAAATGATAGTACATTACAGCAACTCAAATGATAGTACATTACAGCAACTCAAATGATAGTGCATTACAGTATCTCAAATGATAGTGCATTACAGCATCTCAAATGATAGTACATTACAGTATCTCAAATGATAGTACATTACAGTATCTCAAATGATAGTACATTACAGCAACTCAAATGATAGTACATTACAGTATCTCAAATGATAGTGCATTACAGTATCTCAAATGATAGTGCATTACAGCATCTCAAATGATAGTGCATTACAGTATCTCAAATGATAGTGCATTACAGCATCTCAAATGATAGTGCATTACAGTATCTCAAATGATAGTACATTACAGCATCTCAAATGATAGTACATTACAGCATCTCAAATGATAGTACATTACAGTATCTCAAATGATAGTACATTACAGCAACTCAAATGATAGTACATTACAGCAACTCAAATGGTAGTGCATTACAGTATCTCAAATGATAGTGCATTACAGCATCTCAAATGATAGTACATTACAGTATCTCAAATGATAGTACATTACAGCAACTCAAATGATAGTACATTACAGTATCTCAAATGATAGTGCATTACAGTATCTCAAATGATAGTGCATTACAGCATCTCAAATGATAGTGCATTACAGTATCTCAAATGATAGTGCATTACAGCATCTCAAATGATAGTGCATTACAGCAACTCAAATGATAGTACATTACAGTATCTCAAATGATAGTACATTACAGCAACTCAAATGATAGTGCATTACAGTATCTCAAATGAAAGTCCATTACAGCATCTCAAATGATAGTACATTACAGTATCTCAAATGATAGTACCAGTACATTACATTATTTCAAATAATATATATAGTACATGACAATATCTCAAAGTGCATAGCAGTAAATTGTTATAACTAAGATATATGATTTTGGATAGAAGACCACGACACATTTAGAGATACTGAGATTCATTTTGTTTGGAGAATGCAGCAAATTTTTCTACCTTTATGCAGATCTAATTAGAAAATACCTTAGAAAATCTACTCTTAAAAAGGGAATTCGGAGTTCCACAACAATTACTGTAATTATAAAAAAGAAAAAAACCAACAAAATTATTTAAGGTTGCTGTCTACCGGTAATTGACGTATACCCAGCCTATCCTTAAATATATATTATGAGATGTGAACTCTGTTTTTCTTCCATATTATGAACTTTACCTGTAATCAATGTCTCAGTATAGTTTTTTTTTAATTTCAGGATTATGGTATATGGGAAAGAGGAGATAAAACCAATCATGGATTTCCAGAATTGAATTCCAGTTCAATAGGAATGGCTAAGGTAGTATTGGTTTATATACGAGGAGCATTAAGTGCTCATTAAGTGCTACCCTTGACCGTCAATCCTTCCGTCTTTCCGTTCTTCCCATTCCATTTGTTTGAGTGGGGCATTCATGTCCTCAGACACATTCTTCCTTTATTTTTTTTTAATTTTCCAGTTTGTCTTTCCAGAATTACGGAACTTTAACTGTTACATTTAAGGCAATTTTTCACAAATAGCGCACTAACTCCAGTATTCCTGGATTGATTTCCTCCAAATTTTACCTTATTGTTGGGATTGATGAAAGGGAGCTACCTTTTGATTTATTAAGATTTCTGGTTTGTCACTCCAGAGTTGTGGGACTTTTTTAATTGTCAGATTTTAGTAAATTATACATATATTGTATCATAACTTGAGTTTACTTTGATTGATTCAGTGGAAACATTTTGTTCTTGCAACAATTTTGATATGCACATTAAGGGCATATCATGCGCTCTTGGGGTATGCAGTTTATTTCATATACAGAACATCTTAAATAAGGAAAAGTAAAATTGAAGTAATAGTTAAAGGTTTATGAACAAAAAAAGTAATAAAAATTGATGTTTTTTCTTAAGCTTTCTATTAGAAGGGAATTAAGACAAAGAAAATGTACATTGGCATTAGAAAAACAACAACATGAATTGAAGATGTCAGTTCGTTTTTTTCCAGTCATTTTAAAATATTGTAATTCATATAATAAAATCAAAATAGTTAAAAAATAAACTTGTAACTTTTCAAATCTTATTAATAATGTTTTAGACAGCACTGTTGACTTATGAAAGGCCTTTAGAAGTTCCTCATGTGTTATTTTTAAATTTTAAATTACAGGCTGCCTTAGAAGCTATTAATGAATTAGATCTGTTTGGTTCCAGAGGAGGACCTCATTCTGTTGTACATGTACTACCTGATGAGGCTCAACAGTGCCAGGTATGTTCTAATACAGCATGTTTGGACTTTTGCAGTGACAAAGTGTTGAGGTTTAGTATTTGACCATGGTAAAGCTAAGTACAAACATGTATAGCTTGTGTCAGAAGATTGCAGCTACATCATATGTCCTTTGATTTGTTCAATCTCATTTTAAAACCTTTTTTAATGCTTTGAGGTTCAAATTTTGAATGTCATTACTATGTATGATGATATGAATATGACATATAAGGTGTAAGAACAATTTTTTGACTTTCTAAAAATGTGCATGTCATAATTATATAAATTATTCAGAAACAATAAAATTGAGAATGGAAATGGGGAATGTGTCAAAGAGACAACAACCCGACCATAGAGCAGACAACAGCTGAAGGCCACCAATGGGTCTTCAATGCAGCGAGAAACTCCCGCACCTGGAGGCGTCCTTCAGCTGGCCCCTAAACAAATATGTATACTAGTTCAGTGATAATGGACGTCATACTAAACTCCAAATTATACACAAGAAACTAAAATTAAAAATGATACAAGACTAACAAAGGCCAGAGGCTCCTGACTTGGGACAGGCGCAAAAATGCGGCGGGGTTAAACATGTTTTTTGAGATCTCAACCCTCCCCCTATACCTCTAGCCAATATAGAAAAAACAAACAGTACGCACAGTAAAACTCAGTTTAAGAGAAGTCCGAGTCCGATGTCAGAATAGGAAACAAAAGAAAATAAACAAAATGACAATAATACATAAATAACAACAGACTACTAGCAGTTACTGACATGCTAGCTCCAGACCTCAATTAAACTGATTTAAAGATTATGTCTTCATCATATGAATATCAGGCACAATCCCTCCTGGTTTTAGAATAAATATGTTTAATTCAGATGCAAAGACCCTATAAGTGAATCAATATTAAAGCCAAAATATGCAATCTTTAATTACCTGACAACAGTATCGTAACTATATCCCTTCTTAATAAGTCTGTTTAAAGGTTTTGTTAGCTTTTGAGGTGAATACTGACATTTTTGTGCTTTGTAAAGAATGCTACTTGAGGTTTAAGAATGAATATCAGTCATTATTTTTGGTGGAAAAAGTAGTCTTAAAATATGGTTGATATATTTTTTAGCATTAGACATAGTTAACCATCTCTAAGTCTCAAAAGCTGTTGCTTTATTTTTAGAAATATGGGTTGGATTATGTTGGAACACAAATTTTTGCTTTTTCACAGCACAATTATTAAGTAAATAAAGATTTTTACATTTATAGCTGTTTAACATTTTGAAAATATCTATTGCAGGCCATTCTTCACTCAATGTTACCCAGAGAATCAAATTCAAAAGTAAGTACCCTTAGAAATATTGGTCTATACAGTTATGGTTGCCATATCATAGTAGAGCTGTTTAAAGAAAAACTTCTGTTTGCTGAAAACATAATTGCAAAGATGAAACTTTGATAAAGTCACTTGACTAATATAAAAATAAGGAGATGTGGTATGATTGCCAATGAGACAACTATCCACGAAAGTTCAAATAAAGTGAATGTAAGCAATTATAGGCAACCGTACAGCCTTCAACAATAAGAAAAACTCTTACCATATAGTCGACTATAAAAGGCCTTAGTGAAAAATATGGAAAAATATGAAACAATTCAATTGAGAAAACTAACGGCCTAATTTATAACAAAACAATTTACGAAAAACAAATATGACAGACATGAACCAATGAAAAACCACTGAACTACAGGCTCCTGACTTGGGACAGACACATATAGAATGTGGCGGGGTTAAACATGTTTAAAGGCACCAACCCTCCCCTCACCCTGGACAGTGGTGTAACAGCACAACTCAAAACACAACAACCACTCAATTACAGGCTCCTGACTTGGGACAGGCAAATATAGAATGTGGCGGGGTTAAACATGTCTGAAGGTGCTAATCCTCCCCTAACCTGGGACTGTGGTGTAACAGTACAACATAAGAACAAACTATAAAAATCAGTTAAAAAGGGCTTAAATTATCTGAACAATACAAAGCAGAAAAACATCTAACAAAAATACAGACTGTACGTGGCAGGGTATTTATACATCCCTAAAAACAAAAAAGACACAAAGTACAGATCTGAGAGTACTGGCAGTAACTGACAGCTGGTTCAAAGCCAAAAACAACTAATAAAAAAATCATGTATCTAAGACTAAAATATCAATCAGTTCACATCCAACATCCAATGGATTTAGTGTAAAGATGTCATTAACAGTCAGAGAAAAACATGACCTTGACTTGTGCAATGCCAGAATATAGCTATCAGCAGATTGTAGTACAGTGAATGTGCATATGTGTATAACAATAATATTTAGTTTGATTTTAATTTACTGATAACAAAATCAATATTTATACCAACAAAAACAATATTCAAAGATCTAATTACAGTGATGAATTGGTAACCTTTTAGAATAAGTTTATTTAAAGGATTGAAAAGTTTACCCGGATCATATCTAAATTTCCGGGCTCGGTTAACAACATCTAGGATGTGCTATTCTATTTGAAATAAGTTTTCTACAGGTACAGCCAAACTTGCAAACCTTATCTTTGTATCTATGAAAAATAAAGCAGTTTCACTTTGAAATTCCTGATTAAAACAATAAAAAAAAGTTTCAAGTATGATTAAGGTTCCTGTGTGCTTTGTGATATAGTAGTTGTGTGGTATATATGACTTTTTTTCTGTACATTTTATAGGAAATCGATGCAGCTTTGCTGTCTATAATAAGTTTTCCAGCATTTGCAGTAGATGATACTCGAATAATTGATGAAACTAAGAATATGATTAAAGAAAAATTACAGGTTGGTTTTTTAATATTTTGGTACATTTATGTACATTATTTGAATATTTATGTCATGAAAATTGAGAAGAAAGCAAAAAAAAAATCAAAATTAAAAGATCAAATATATTGAAACTTTCTTATTTGTCTTTACTTATAAAATACTAGTGATGAAGGATAGCATACATGTCTGTCTTATCTTTTCTTTTTTTGTTGGGTTGCTGTAAACAGGATGTAAGTAGTGAGCGATGAGCAGGATATACAGGGTACAAAATTATGATAATTCATAGTATCAGGAAAGTTGTATTATCTTTGAAAATGATACAACAAGTCAACATTATATTGTAACAAATACTATAAGATACAACTACAAATACTTTTTTAAGGAATGATAGAAAAAAATCAGAAGTTTTGTATGAAGAATCACTATTTTATAACATCACATAAAATGAGACCATGGGTTTATTTACACAAGTTAATTTTAGAAGCATAATATTATTTCATTTCTTCTTTTTTTGTTTGTTAATTAATAGGGAAAGTATGGTTGTGCTAGGTTTCTCAGAGATGGTCACTGGACGGCAAAAGAGGTAAGCTTTACTTGAAACATGGAATTGCATAGCCTTATATTTGCTAATCTTTACAAAAATGGATGTTTTTTATGAGCCAATATTTTATGTTAAGAGAGACTAGTAATATTCACATTGAAAAATGGGGCTCCAGTAGTGTTCCCTCTTAGGTCAAAATGTCATGTTTGCCTCACCATTCCACTTTTAAGCAAATTTGACAGGTTTATATTTAACAATAAACCTGTGATAAAGGTCCCTTTAAATGAGACTTCAGATTGCAAGGTCGCTGGTCTGACCATGTTGGAGTCACAACACTTTCATTATTAAAAAAAGAAACAATAATTCACATAGACATCCATTGTTGTAATTGAACACAGTTAGGACAGACACCAAAGAAGGAGTGGGGTTAAAGCATTTTTTTTATGAGATAACAACACAGTTTAGTTAATTAATTTCATTTCTCGTCTCTCTTACTGGAAAACCATTTGATTCCTATATTGGAATTTTGTCTTAACAGAAAATAGCAATTTGCAGTATTCAGTATACCCAAGTACAAATATTCATCATAGATTTGGTTATTGTATTGTTGGGTTGTTGTCTCATTGAGGGATATGTAACAGTGAATCTTATCTGGCACTGTTCCTTTTAGTACACTAGTGTCAAATTTCTCTGATGAGTTATCCAACAGAATAAACACACTATATATATATATATATATATAGCTAGCGTGAAGAAGGAACACACTAGTGCATTTTATGAACTGAAAGTTCTACACAACGGAATGAAAGTACTCTTTAGAGATGCCCCACATATTACTTATTCATATTTTAAATTACAAGAACAAATCTTGCATTTTAGATGATCATCCAGAAATAACAATAATGAATGCGCACATTGATTTCTGAATTTATAGATATGTATTGTGGAAAAAAATAGATATTACATGTTTTTTGTGTATTCATTTTCAGGATAGAAACCGATTACACTATGAACCGTGGGAACTACAAGTGTTTGAACACATTGAATGTCAGTGGCCTATGTTCTTTGCATACCTTTTACTTGATGCTGCCTTTTTTAATAACAAAGAGGAAGTAAGAAAATTTAGTTTTTACGATCGTAAATACATTTGAAGTCTTTCAAAATATTACAAGATTAGAAATTTGTATTATGTCATGTCTACTATATAGTAGTGGGTATTATGTTTTATGGTCTGTGCCTCTGTTACATTCTCTGTTCATCCATCCTGTATCAGGTCAAAGTTTTTGGTTTAAGTAGTTTACCAGGAAGCTAAGGTCACATCAACTTAAAACTTTGTACAAATGTTCATTAAGATATCAACTTTTAAACTTATATGCCAGATTACGATTTTTATCCCTATTTCCCATTTCACTGATCATGGAAATGTGATAGTATGAAACCAATTACCAGTAAATTCTCAGGTTAAAGTTTTTGGTTGAGGTACTTTACTGTAAAATACTTGAAACTTATTTACACATATAAATGCATGTTCATAATGTTGTGAAATTTTAAAATTATATGACAAATTACAGTTTTGACCCTATTTTACACTTTACAGAACATGAAAATATGATAGTGTGAGCCGGGCATAGTGACCTATGGACATATTTTCTTATTAATTATTAAAAATATTTTTTAAACAAGTTGATGAAACAGCATTTTTTTTTTATAGACATTCATAGATACAGACAATTTATTTCTTTAGAAACCTGTTGAAAGCATTGACTTTGTAGATTATGCAAACCAGAGACATATTTAGTCTCTGTCTCTGTGCAAACAAATCAAAGTATTTTCTTTGGCCTCCGTTACTCATTACTCGAGCTTAGTGAAAAATACACATTCAGCACACATAAATAAACATTTGGTTGGATCACCTTAGTTAGAAGTATATATTTTAATGCAATTCATTGTTTTAAGCTGGGACTATTATACTATTAGTATAATAGTCCCAGATGTAAGTTGCTTTTAAATTTGTTAAATGTTTTAATGAGAAACAATGAATATCATAAACAGAATACTGTGGATTCATTAATATTCGTTGGATACCAATTTTCGTGGATTTCATGGGTACAAGGAAACAACGAATTTAAATGTTCAACGAAATGCAAATTGTTTAAAGGAATGCATGTGAACTTTGTCAAAACCACGAATTTAAATATCCACAAATATGCAAGTTTTCCTCTATCCACGAAAATTGGTACCCACGAAAATAAATGAATCCACAGTAGTTAATTTTCCTTTCTTTAAAATTTCAATAGTGCTAGATATTTTGTTGGTAGTTCCGGACGGTAACAAGTGGAACAATAAGACTGTATAACTATAAATGACGATTTAAGACATAAACAATGACACCTGTTACTGTAATGGTAACTTCTCTTAAGTCTCACCACTTTTCGTATCAGTTTCAAAAGGAGAAGTAACTTCTCCCTCATTCTAAAATAGTGTGATCCCTGCACCTGCTAGTAGCCAGCAGTTTACTGACATGTCACTATGACCAATGTCAACACATGAATGCTAAAAACACATAGGTTCTTGGATATATAGACACATATAATGGGAGGGACATGTACATCCCATTTGATTTTCAGATTTCTATAACCATTCCAGAGCATCTGAGATCACCCTTTGTTTTTGTTGGGGTTCATGTTGCTATCAGACCACAACACAAACCATACGTGTATGCCAAATTGACTTATTTTTTTCTGTGCATTTACTGATTTTGTGATGGATGGATACCCCATATCCTTTGTTTTTCTATTATATTGATGGCATGATACCACAATATCAGATACGAATGAATACACAGGTTTACAAATGTTGAAGATGCATATCAAAACCAATTATGAAACTGAGATAAATAGAACCCACTTAAAACAGTCGAATTTAACTACAACCCTCACCCACCCCAATCCGATCCCCCCCCCAAAAAAAAGACTACCTACCTACCATATTATGAAAATTGATGTAATAGGAAACACACATATTTTTTTTTGGCCTTAAAAATCTCTACATCACCTTAGTTTGGAAGAATTGAAATAATGATTCTTATATTAAGACATAGCAAATCAATGGATAATTTTTAAATATTTAATTGATAATTATATTTGACATTTTAAAGCATGCACACACTCCATTAAATAAGTAATCTACCAATAAAAATACATGAGAATAGAGAATGGAGACGGGGAATGTGTCAAAGAGACAACAACCTGACCAAAGAGCAGAAAACATCCCAAGGCCACTAATGGGTCTTCAATGCACCAAGAAAATCACGCACCTGAAGGGGGGCTTCAGCTGGCCTCTAAACAATAATGTATACTCGTTCAGCCACACTAAACTCTGAAACATACAAATGAACCAAAATTAAAAAACACAGAAGACTAACAAAGGCTAGAGGTTCCTGAATAGGGTCAGGTGCAAAAATGCTGTGGGGTTAAAGATGTTTTGTGAGATCTCAACCCTCCCCTATACTTATTTGGAATAAACAAACACACAGCAAAAGGCACAGTTAAAATCAGTTCAAAAGAAGTCTGAGTCCGATGTTAGAATAGGTAACAGAAGAAACTAAGCAAAATAACAATGATAAACATAAATTAATTGACTGTATGATTTATTTTAAAATTTGGATACATGTCTTATATTATTTACAGGTCCAGTTATATTCCAAACTGATGGACACTGTGATAATTAAATCTGATGAAGGAATTCCATTTGTACCAGAAATGTATGCAGTGCCAAATGAAAAGGTAGAAAAAAAATAGACTTCCACATACCTAAGTGTCTTTTGGGCTGTCATTAAAGCCTTTCTAATTTGTTAATTTTTTATTGTTAAACCTCAGAATCTAGAGACCATATCTAACTAACACTTAACATGCTTTTATCCTTATTTTAGGGACAGAACACACATGATTTACTTATTTAGTCAATAGTTTAATTTTTGATATTTGCAAAATCCATCAATTCTAAAAGATATTAAGAAAACTTTTGGACCTAAATCTTGTTTTTTGCTGTAGGTTGACTTAGAGAAGAAAAAACCCCAAAGCCAAGAAAGACATGCCATTGGCAAACTACCACAATTATGGGGAGAATCTCTTTATATACTAGCCAAACTGATTACAGAGGTATGTTCATTTTCACTGTCATAAAATTGAGTGGTTCTCAACCTTAATGGAGCATGCATTTCAACAGGTAGATCTGTTCATTTTCCTTGAATTTGTCTTATGCTAATTGTATTGTCATAGCTAAAAATAAGTCAGATTGTTGTTGACAGAGGATAAGTACTGTTCTTTGTTCTTAAAGTGAAGCTAATTCACTCTGCATGTCAATACCATAAATCCAAATACACTGCTTCCTTGCTATATTTCCCATTGTCAAACCTCCCAAACTCGTATATCACCTCTATATTACTCCAACATGTTTTTTTGTACTTTAAAATTCCCTCTTTAATAAGGATATCTTAGGATAATGTTTAGTCAATCATATGTATGACCCCTTATTGATCCCTCAAATATGCCTGGGATCCTGGATAACTACTAGACACTCCAATTCGCTAGCAATGAGAAGAAGATATTAGGCCATGATACCAGGCTACCCAAATATTGTTGGACAATTAGTGAATTATTCATGTCAGGTTGATCGACACAATTATTATTAGTATTTTTTTTATAAGTACTGTCTATTGAGCCACATTGCTAGGGTTGCCATCATTATATTGTCACTGTTGTATGGAGTACTGTTTGTTGAGCCAGATTGCTAGGGTTGCCATCATTACATTGTCACTGTTGTATGAAGTACTGTTTGTTGAAACACATTGCTGGGGTTGCCATCATTATATTGTCACTGTTGTATGGAGTACTGTTTGTTGAGCCAGATTGCTAGGGTTGCCATCATTACATTGTCACTGTTGTATGAGGTACTGTCTATTGAGCCACATTGCTAGAGTTGCCATCATTATATTGTCACTGTTGTATGTAGTACTGTTTGTTGAGCCACATTGCTTGGTTGCCATCATTACATTGTCACTGTTGTATGAAGTACTGTTTGTTGAAACACATTGCTTGGTTGCCATCATTACATTTTCACTGTTGTATGAAGTACTGTTTGTTGAAACACATTGCTTGGTTGCCATCATTACATTTTCACTGTTGTATGGAGTACTGTTTGTTGAGCCTCATTGCTAGGGTTGCCATCATTACATTTTCACTGTTGTATGAAGTACTGTCTATTGAGCCACAGTGCTTGGGTTGCCATCATTATATTGTCACTGTTGTATGGAGTACTGTTTGTTGAGCCTCATTGCTAGGGTTGCCATCATTATATTGTCACTGTTGTATGAAGTACTGTTTGTTGAGCCACATTGCTTGGTTGCCATCATTATATTGTCACTGTTGTATGGAGTACTGTTTGTTGAGCCACATTGCTTGGGTTGCCATTATTATATTGTCACTGTTGTATGGAGTACTGTTTGTTGAGCCACATTGCTATGGTTGCCATCACTTTATTGTCACTGTTGTATGGAGTACTGTTGGTAAAAGGTAAACTGTGTGAAACTTGATAGGAACTATTTGAAATAATGTTAGTAGGTGCTTTACATTCTTTTTATCAGTCATTACCTTGAAAAAATATTTAGCGTTTTTGAAATGTAAAAGTTGAAATGAACTATAGCTATATAACATTTTAGAATAATTTAAAATTAAAAAATGATTTGTTTCAGTTAATATGAGTAAAGAACAAGCCATTGTACAATTTCTTAAACCCATATTTTGGGATTTGTTTGATTTTCAGGGTTTCCTGTCACCAGGAGAGCTAGATCCATTGAACAGAAGACTTGTGTCTGAACCTAAACCTGATATTGTTGTACAAGGTAACTGTATAATTAGATAAAAAAGTATTATTTCATAATTTAGTGTTTAAGATGTACAAAAAAATGATGTCTTATCCAATATCAACAAAAGATCAGAATAAGAAATTATTGCTTATCATCTCCTTGTTTATTATGTATTGACGTTGAATAAGTATAAACCTGTATTATCAGAGGTAAGGGCTAAAATGTGCAACTCTTCAAAATTGGTTAATGTGGATATTGTAAGTGAGTCATAATCAGAGTTCAGGTTAAAATGATTACTTCTAATCTATTTTCTAGTTATGTATTTGTGGCAAACTTGTATAATCCTATATTATTAGCTGTTTGGATAAAAATGATTTCTTTGCATCACCTTCTACTTTTAAAGATAAGGAGATGTGGTATGATTGCCAATGAGACAACAATGTATGAAAGGCTAAAGGCAAACCACAAGTCTTGTTCATTATGTTTAAATGTTAAACCTGTACTTGTGTTATCTTAGATTTGACTTTTTATCTACTTTCTTTGATAATAATATTGTTCATTGGATACTATTTTTTTTTATTTTTGTAGATTGGTTTGTTAGTTTCTACTCATTCTCACAAATCTAAGTAGTTTGTATACACCTATGTGCTATAAACAAATAGACTTTGTAACTGAAAAACTATCACATACTGAAGGTGGGAGTACACTTTGCAGTTTTTTGTAAAATAAAACGCAACAAGTTTTAAACCTCAATGGAAATGTGCGAAAGGTTGAATTGATTTGCACAGAGATATGTTGACAAGTCACTTACACCTTTCTTCCATCAACACCCCTCTTATTGTATATTTAAAGGCAAACCACAGGTCTTTGAAAACAAATAAAATTGCTTTGATAAAATCAAAGAACAAAAACATTGGAAACAGTTTAACAGAGAAAATTTGTTATAAGAATAAGAAGATGTGATATAAATGCCAATGAGACAACTCTCCACCAGAGACCAAATGACATAGAAGTTAACAACTATAGTCCACCATACGGCCTTCAACAATGAACAAAACCCATACTGCATAGTCAGCTATAAAAGGCCCTCAAATGACAAATGTAAAACAATTCAAACTAGAAAATTAACAGCCTGATTTATGCAAAACAACAATGAACGAAATACAAATATGATGTACAGGAACAAATGACAACCACTGAATTACAGGCTCCTGACTTGGGGCAGGCACATACAGAATGTAGCAGTGTTAAACATGTTATCGGGCACCCAACCCTCCCCTAACCTGGGACATTGGTGTAACAGTACAACATATGAACAAACTGTAAAAATCAGTTGTTAAGGGCTTAACTCATCAGATTGATACACAGCAGAAAAACAAAAACACAGACCAGACGTGGCAGGGTATTTATGCATCCCTACAACAAAAAAGTCAGATCTGAGAGTACTCGCAGATACTGACAGGTAGTTGAAGGCCAGTAACAACTAATTCAAAAATTATGTATCTAAGACTAAAGTATCAATCAGCACACAACCACAAAAATAAAAAAAATCACATTATGCAAATTATGGAATGATGAAAACTTTACAAATGTAAAGTAAACTTTAAATACAATTGTTTAGTCTTTAAAAAAAAACCACCAGTTTCTATATATAGCCAATATTTTTTTTCAGTCGTAGTACTAGCAGAAGATAATTGGATGCAGGATAAGTTAGAGGAGCATGGGATAAGTGTTCAGACAGTCTCCCAGGTTAATCCAATACACGTCTATCCTGCAAGAGTCTTAACTCAGATCTACTCTTTACTAGGTATATAGTTACCAAGTTTATCTTATACATTTTAGCTGCAGGAGTCCAAACCAAGGGTCCAGAAAAGATCATATTTTTCAGACATTGCTGATACTAAAAGGTCCTTGACCTAAATGTGTTTTGGGATTTTGGTCAAGAATGTTTTTATACGCCCGTTTACGGGACATATTATGGTATACCGTTGTCCGTCCTCAACATGTCGGACAATTACTCAAAAGCTATTTAACCAATTTTCATGAAACTTTGGTGTATTGTGTATATCTATTGAGGTAAGCTCCCTTTTGTTTTTTATAAATTTCAGAATTTATGTTTTTGAGTTATGGGATTTTATTCCTAAAAAGGGGGGGGGGATTTTCCAGTTTTTGAACAATAACTCAAAAATGCTTTGAGCAGTTTTCATGAAACTTTGGTGACTGGTTTATGTCTATTAAAATAAAATCCCTTTAGTTTTTTTGTATAAATTTCTGGTATGACATTGAGGAGTTATGGAACTTTATTAGTTGAACAAGCGACAGGCATATCATGCGCTCATGGCGCAGCTCTTTTTTTAACTGAAAATTTACAAAGATCAGACATAATTATCAATGCCCTTTTGTCAGTTACAAAATATTGATTGATTTTTTTAGGATTATAAAACTGACACTCAGTGTCGACTTTCTAGTCCAAAAAAATTAAATTAATAAATTTCAAGACCCCTGGCCCTAACTAAGATCAACACTTTTCTTTGTACTTAGTTAGCATGTTAATCTTAAAAAAAATTAGCTGCTGGAGATCTAACTTAGATCTACTCTTTAACAGCCAATGGTATTTTATAGAGAGTGTTTGCAACCGTTATGGTGTATCTAACAGTGGAATGTTCCAATTGTCAAAACCACAATTCTTTCCGCAGTTCTTTGATATGGACACAAGACTTATCACCAAAATTGTACTTATCATTAGCAGCACAATGAGTGCAATATATGTAGGAGGATCTACTTTCCTTTTTGGATTACCATAGATCACTGCTAGATTTTACGGGGTTTGTGTTGCTTAGTCATTAGTTTTTTATAAAGTGCTATGGAGACTTGTTTATCTTTTCGTCATTTAGGTTTTTTGTCCTGGTTTTGTTAGTTTCTCTATGACGTGAATTTTGATTGTAATTTTGCCTTTTTAACCTGCAAGAAACTTTATGCATATCTGGTCTTATTAACTCACCTTTTTTTTTGCCCGATTCTGGTTCTTTTAATAAAGAAATTCATAAAAAGGACAGTTTTATTATCTATTATGAGCCTCACTTCTAGATATTGATCTGATTATATATGGTATATTGAGTAATTTCAGATAACAGATGACTTTTGTTATCGTTCAGCTACATTTTAGTTTGTAATTAAAGTCTTCTTGTGCAGAAAATTTCATGAAAATGAAAGTTTTCTTAGCCATTCCATCCTCCTTATAAGAAATTTTATCATATTTCTCTTCTATTGTCAGCTTACCTTGCAGTCATTTAATTCAATAATGAATAATTAATGTAGTTTATATATTTGACTTCTGTATTATTGCATAACTAGTACATTTAGTACTTTATTAATCAAGCTATCAGTCATTGATAGATATAAACCATCATAACGACTAGATACAGTTGTGCGAAAGATGAAGTCTTGGAGTCTTGCTTAATCTCATCTCGACTAGGAACTGTGTACCAAACATTTTAATCCAAATAGATTTTTCTTTGCATTTTATTTTGTATAATGTCAAAGATTAAGATATTATTTAATGAGGTGAAGGAAGTTTAAATTTTTTTTTAGCAATATGCTGCACTTCATAAATTGTTTTGTTATGGTTGACCCTTTACCGACAGAATTTGTGCCTTTGAACATCTGCTCTGGATTATGACAGCCCTTTTTATGACCCGCCTATGATAGTAGGAGGCCATTAGGTTTTTGAATCTTTTCGTCCATCTGTCCGTGCGCCGTCCTGTATCAGGTTAAAGTTTTGATAAAAGTAGTTTACCATGGAGTAGGGGTCATATTAACTTGAATCTTAATACACATGTCTATTATGATTGGAAAATAAATAATATGCCAAAATACGTTTTTGACCCAGATTTTATAGTTCACTAAACAAGGAAATGTGAAAGTTTTAAATCAATACATTCTCAGGTTTAAGTTTTTTGTAAAGGTATTTTACCATGAAGTTGTGGTAATATCAGCTTGAAACATTGTTCACATATTCATTATAAACTGAACGTTTTGAATTACATGTAAAATTAAGGGTTTTGAGCATGATTTCACAGTTCACTGAACATAGATATTTGAAAATGAGAATGGGATATCATGTCGTATGGACACATGTTAAGGTTTAATTCTCATTTGCCATGTGGAGAGACATTCCATTTGTTTTCACCTATTTTATACCATAACCTGGTATGGAAAACATTCAATTTAGTATACTGCTAAAATGGTGTAATTAAATAATTGTAGGTAAAAACAAGAAGTTAGGATTAACTGGTAGACCTTCTAGTGAAGTTGGTTTGTTAGCTACAAGTAAATTATATGTAATGAATGAACAGATGTTGGCCTTTATACCACAGGTATGTTGTAATATGATATTACCTATCTTGGTTCAGATGTTCATAGAATTGATTAGATAAGGAAATTTTCTTAAAATTGAAGTAAATATTGAAACCAGAACTGGATAAATAGAGAATGAAGTCTATTATATTGTCAATGTATAATTTGTCTTTGTTCATCTGTGTTGTAATAAATTTGATAAGATCAAGAATTTTTTTCAATATTTTAGAAAATAATGAATTCTGAAGAAGTAAAACAGAGAATTCAGTTTTATTTTTATTGTCAAAGTTAAGTTCATAGTAGTTGAAAAGAAAAAAAAAACTTGATGAATATTTGTAAGGGACATTAATATGTTTAACATGTTTAAAGATATATATTTTATTGATTAAACTGAGATATCCAATCTGTTCATAAGATTTAACACATGTTTAGAATTTCAACCTTTACTTAAGCTTGTTATTTACGTTTGACAAAATTTTAATTGAAAGATGTAATTAAATAATATTAATTTTCAGTTTGTTGATGAGACTCAGTTTTATCTTCCATGTGACATTGATTTGCGTTGTGACGCATTCAAGACAGATGTAGATATCTTATCTGTGCACTGGAGAATGGTCGGAAGACCACTTTTTATTATGCCAGTATCTTCAAAATTGCTAGGTTTGAAAACACCCCACCAATAAAATTTTGATTTGACTTACTATATTGTATTTTAAGCATTTGAAGCTTGATTTTATTGCAGGGAATGCAAACTTATAATTTGATTGAACAGAATATATGCTTTTTATTGCATTTTGTAGTGCATAATTCATTCCCTTTGTTAAAAATTAATTTTTGACAGATCATAAATGAACAAACCTTTAATTCATTGGCTGTAGTTGGTTCATGTCTGTCATTTTTGTTTTTCTTAAATTCTTTTGTTATAAGTTAGTCTGTTAGTTTTCTCTTTTGAATTTTTTCCCATTTTGACATGTCAGGGCCTTTTACAGCTGACTATAGGGTATGGTTTTTGTTCATTGTTGAAGGATGCACAATGATCTAAAATTGCTTACATTCACATTATTTTAACTCTGGTGGGAAGTTGTCTCATTGGCAATCATACCACATCTCCTTATTTTTATATAACTAGCTAAGTATATTTTTTTACCATTACTAATATTAAAAGTGATTTATCTCTATCACATAACCCTGAAACTCCAGAGAGTGATATATGTTGTTTGTGGCATTCCATTTATTTAGATTAAAACTATTGTATTAGTGCAAAAACTAAAACACAATTATAGTTAAAATGGAAAGATAGGTTTGATTACTTGGTTTTCATGAATAGTGTTCAGTCCACCTGAATGAGTACTGGGTCTACCTTAATTGGGACTTGGACCACCTGAAACAAAAACTATTTGGTAAATCCAGAAGTACTTTTATACTTTTCTGCTGGTTTTTTTTGTTTGTTTTTTTTTTTGGTATTCCAAGTCAATTTCAATTAAAATAAAATGCTTCACTGAGCGCAGCCTGATACGACCGCAGAGGTCGAACCCTGAACAGTTTGGGCAAATTTGGACACAATATTCAAGCTTGATACTGTCTGAATTTGGATTGTGATCAAATTTTTGACATAATATGGGTTTCTGACACAAAATAAATGTGGTCAAAGATCTTACAAATCTATTGCGCAATACTGTGCAATTGAAAATTTCTTCTTGAAACTTTTCAAAAATTCGAAATTTGAAAAATTTTGAAAAAAAAATATCAATCCCTTAAAAAATTAGAAAAAAAAAATCCCCCCCTCCCCCCCAACTTTTTGAAACCCCCCTTGGAGCAATAACCCCAAAACTCAATCCCAGCCTTTCCTTTGTAGTATGGAACACTGTAGTACAATTTTAAGGAGATCCATACACTTACACACAAGTTATTCTCTGGAAACTAGAAAAATACTTGTTTTTGGCCCTTTTTTGGCCCCTAATTCCTACATGTTTGGGGCAATTAACCCCAAACTCAATCACAGCCTTCCCTTTGTTATATGGAACCTTGTGGTACAATGTCAGAGAGATCCATACACTTACACACAAGTTATTGTCTGGAAACTAGAAAAATGCTTGTTTTTGGCCCCTTTTTGGCCCTTAATTCCTAAACTGTTGGCCCCATAACCCCTAAAATGAATCAAAAACCTTCCTTTTGTGGTATTGAACCTTCTTAAAAAATTTCATAGAGATCTATTCACCTTAACTAAAGTTATTGTCCGGAAACCAATGTGTCTTCGGACGACGATGACGACATCAGCCCATTATACGATCCCAAAAATTTTTTTGCGGTCGTATAAAAATGAAAGAAAAGATGACTTGAATTAGTTTAAATTAATTTCTTCAATAGTTTATACTTTTTGCTTTCAGAACATAGACTCTCACATGTTTTACCTTTCGCTAGATATGGATTATAAAGTATTTGCTTTGAAAAATGAGTTGAATTATGTTTCTAATAATTGGAGAATGATTGGCAGACCTACCATTGTCATTCCAGTTCTTGAAGAATCTTTAGGTGTGCTTCTAAAAATAGCAAATAAATTGTTTCTTGATGCTTTGGTTTTGTGCTTGTAATAAAATCTCAAAATTTCTGCAACTCACTATTTAACAAAAATGGAAAGTGGGTTTTACTATATAAATTTAAGGTTTTATAAAATGCATTGGGAGCTTAGAAAGCACACTAAAATTTTACTAAAAATTGTTACTAAATAGTAGATTGAGATTTTTCAAATTTAACAGATAATCAATTTTCAAATATGGAATTTCATTAAATATGCTGCAGTTAATGTTATATTGTATTCTTTACAAAGTGCACCTCACAATGCTTTTCTGCTTAAATACAGAGCTTAAAGTCAAAGATTGTATGCAACAAAATTATCATTACACTCAGAGTATATCGATTTTGCTTGCTAATGACACTTATTGTAGACAAGGCACATGCATATCTTTTACTTTTCTGATTGTTTACTTAAAATAACTTAGTGACTATAATGTTTTATGTTTGAAGGTTGTTTACCCTAAAACTGATTTATTAAAATTGCAAAAGAGTTCTGTTTAATATATAAAGATGAAGAAAGTAATGTGTATGTTACCATAAGGATGGACTGAATCTAGTATTTTAAATCTGCAGAAAGAAAATGAAATTGTTGGCTTTATGGAAATAAATGAAACATTAGGGCATATTAATAATCTTGCTGGTCTTTTTATACACTCTGTATACATGATATACTTCAAAAACCTTTTTTAAACTGAAAAAATTTTGTAGGTTTCAAAATCAGAGGTCCCTGGTTTGAGTCTCATAGGAGACAATGTTATTTTCTAGTAAGAATCATGCTTTCCGGTTGCATTTTGTCGGTGCCCAACTTAAAAACACACAGTGGTTAGAGATGATATCTAGCCAGGGTATGTGTTGTGAGAGTCATAATGGTATGATGACTCTTGAGGTGAGGGAAGTGTGACAGGATTGCTTCTCTTGAGTAGTAGATACTTAATTAACTGTAAGCTGTTGACCTAGGGAAGTGCTTCTTTAGCTCAGTCTGTTAGAGCACTGACTTGTAACACAGAGATCCTGGGTGTAATTTCCAAGGAGACTATGTGATTTTCTAAATAGAATCATGCTCACCTGTTACAGATGCAACCATGATGCTCAGAACATTACCCACTGTTTTCTGAAATGAAAAAATCTCTATATACAAATTGTGTTGATAAAAAACCCAGAGATTTAGAATAATTTTGAAATAAGGTTCTGTCAGCATGTCATCAACAGAGTATTTCCATCATTTGTCATCTCAATAACATTTAAAATATCATATTCTTCATTTGAATGGGATAAAACATCATTTTTTAAGCTGCTCATCTTTTACTTCTTGTATTTTCCTAACTAAAACTGCTCTTCTTTTAATTACATTATATATTTGTGGATAACTTCTTCTCAACCATCCAAAAAGTTATTCATGATACTGTTTTTGTCGAGCCTGCGACTTTTGTCGCAGAAAGCTCGACATAGGGATAGCGATCCGGCGGCGGCGGCGGCAGCGGCGGCGGCGTTAGCTAACTTCTTAAAAGCTTTATATTTTAGAAGATGGAAGACCTGGATGCTTCATACTTTGTATATGGATGCCTCATGTTACGAAGTTTCCGTCAGTCACATGTCCAATGTCCTTGACCTCATTTTCATGGTTCAGTGACTACTTGAAAAAAAAGTTCAGATTTTTTGTAATGTTAAATTCTCTCTTATTATAAGTAATAGGATAACTATATTTGGTATGTGCGTACCTTGCAAGGTCCTCATGCCCGTCAGACAGTTTTCACTTGACCTCGACCTCATTTCATGGATCAGTGAACAAGGTTAAGTTTTCGTGGTCAAGTCCATATCTCAGATACTATAAGCAATAGGTCCAGTATATTCGGTGTATGGAAGGACTGTAAGGTGTACATGTCCAACTGGCAGGTGTCATCTGACCTTGACCTCATTTTCATGGTTCAGTGGTTATAGTTAAGTTTTTGTGTTTTGGTCTGTTTTTCTTATACTGTATGCAATAGGTCTACTATATTTGGTGTATGGAATGATTGTAAGGTGTACATGTCTAGCTGGCAGGTGTCATCTGACCTTGACCTCATTTTCATGGTTCAGTGGTCAAAGTTAAGTTTTTGAGTTTTGGTCTTTCTTTCTAATACTGCATGCAATAGGTCAGCTATATTTGGTGTATGGAATGATTGTAAGGTGTACATGTCTAGCTGGCAGGTGTCATCTTACCTTGACCTCATTTTCATGGTTCAGTGGTCAAAGTTAAGTTTTTGAGTTTTGGTCTTTTTATGCCCCCGCCGTACCGGAGGGGGCATTAAGTTTTACCCTTGTCCGTCTGTACGTACGTACGTACGTACGTACGTCCCGAAATTGGTTTCCGTTCTCTAACTTGAGTTTGCCTCAATCAAATGTAATGAAACTTATACACAATGCTTATTACCACAAAACACAGATCAAGTTTGAATTTTGGTGGCGTCACTTTAACCGATCTAGAGTTATGCCCCTTTATAAAAGGAAATATTGCATAATTTTTAGTTTCCGTTCTCTAACTTAAGTTTGCCTCAACCAAATGTTATGAAACTTATACACAATGCTTATTACCACAAAACACAGATCAAGTTTGAATTTTGGTGGTGTCACTTTAACCGATCTAGAGTTATGCCCCTTTATAAAAGGAAAAATTGCAAAATTTTTATTTTCTTCTAAATATCAAGTTTATATAATATATTTTTAAAATTGGAGTTATCTTCCTTTGACCATGATTATAGTTGAATCAACTACAATCAATGCTTTATACAATGCAATGTTTAATTTTGACTACCACTGATAAAACACAGATCAAGTTGAATTTGGGTAGTGTCACTTTAACCATTATTGAGTTATGCCCCTTTATAAATAGAAAGATTGCAAAATTTTTTAGTTTCCATTCTGTAACTGAAGTTTTCCCCAGCCAAAGATTGTGAAACCTATACACAATATTCATTCCAACAAAACTCAGTAAAGATCAAGTACATTTTTTTTGTTTCAGTTCTCTAACTTGAGTTTGCCTCAACCAAATGTTATGAAACTTATACACAATGCTAATTACTACATAATACAGATTAAGTACGAAATTA